CATAGTCTTATTTTATTACCTACTTTCCATAGTCTTATTTTATTACCGGACTGACAGACACGGACTAAAATGACATTTGTAGGGTTGCCTGTTTCATAAAATTTTAAATAGTTATGTAGTTGTTGTCGACAGTTTTTTCAATAGACTGTGACAGAAGATAAAATTTTGCCAAAAATGACTGAATTGTGAATGTTACGACGTTCTAATGATTACTAATTGCGTTATTGCCTTCTTTATTTTTATTTTGACAGTTGACCTAATAGTATCGAGATTAAGTTTGATTCATATATTTTTGTCAAGAAAAGCCGGATTTGATTACCTATATTAAATTAAAAATAAAAACTTTAAAATATGTCTCCCCTTCGTATTTTTCATAAACATAGATCTAAATACAGTGTATGTATGAATAAACTTACAAAAATTGACAATTCAAATGAACTTGTTCTCAGAAATTGGTTGAATAATGGGGCGAGGATGATTCAAATGAAACAAGTTCGGCTGTACATTCTATAAGCGTGACCATTGTTTACTCGATACTCTATAGAATATGTATCGACTGCAATCAATAGCTGTTCGCAAGCGGGCAACACTTTTGCGCAATGAATTGTCATGGATTCGCTCTGGACCTTTTGGAGGGAAAAGTGTCGTTTTTATTTTGACTTTCAATTATTTTGTGAAATCTAGTTTAAAGTGGAATAGGATAGTGCTATTGTGCCTTAATCGAAGATTGAAACGCGAAATTATACGAATCTCGAACTAAAATACCCGTATCGGCCCGTTCTAAGGAATCCCGAGTCAATCCAAGCACGCCGCCTCAAATTGCCTATCCTCTTTGTGGCGGCCATATTTACAGAAAAACTTGTTTTTATGTTTTCGGCTGAAGGACTTTGTTTCCATGGCCAGCAATAAATTAAAAAAAAAAAGAAAAAAAAAATTGTCATTTTACTCTGTCTTCAAAAAAGACAGACTATCGTTTATTATTGCCAATACGTAAAGAAGAAGTAAAAACAAAGAAATAAAAAAGTAGTAATGGATTTACTTACGTTACCTACGTATTACTGATAAGGTAATGCCAACGTACTGTTGGTTCAGATAATGATAAGATTTTAAGAATTTCTGAAGCTCTCTCTGAAACTTAACGGTTCAGAAGTAGCGTGTACCATGGATAACTTCGAAAAGAAGTTTGTAATGGAAATGTTTTTAGATAGCGACAGTATTTCTACTGTTAACAGACTAATTGTAGCTACGACAGATGTGATAGTGGAAAACATTGAAAGTATATCGATATTCACGGAACTATTGAATAAAGAACACTTTCAAACTGTGAGAGACATTGAGATTTGCGGTGCTTCACCTTCGCCACCGATTCAAAAGAAACGACAGAAGGTAAATATAGAGCACACCGTTCTCAATTACAGCGATTCTGAATATTTTGACATATTCAAAATGAGAAGGGGCACTGTGCAGGTAGGTTTTTTTGTTACATAACCTTGTGAAAACAAAATTGAGAATATGGTTCCTATGCTACATTATATTGCTATTGTCACCTAAATTCGTAAACTTCCATCCAACCACAAAAACCACCGTTAATGTTAACTTTTGAGTAGGCACAAAAACAGAATTACTAGAAATAATTATGCGACACTAAAAAAGGGTCTACTAATTATATTTTAAGCTTTAATAAGCTGATATTTCGCTAGAGGAGTAAAAATATAATAAAGGGTTTTCATCCTAAAATGGAGTTACGAGGATTTAAAATTTAGCCGATATATTGTTCTGTCTGTGTTTAATAGAATGTAAACACGAGTGTTAACTATTTTTTCTCCCTTATTATACTTAGCAAAGTTGCAGATTGAAATTTTACTTAATGATAAGTTAACAACTGTTTTTACATTATATTTAATAATTTACATTTCAGGCTCTGATAAATTATTTAAGAGAGTTTGACAAAACGGCTGGCACAACTGTGACATTGGATAAGAAAGTACATGTCTTCCTCTGGCTTTTAACGAGTGATTCATCATTTAGTGAAATTGCCATATTATTTGGTTTACATAAATCTACAGTTGCTTATATATTTCATGAGATAGCATCATTGCTTGCCGAACAGAGGCACAACTTCATTAGCTGGCCTTCAGTTGAAGAGCAACACATAACAAGGATAAAAGTGAATAGCAGGTATAAATTCCCCAATTGTGTTGGATTTATTGATGCATGTCGATTCAAAGTTGGTTCAAAGAGGAATAAAAAGGATGAACCAGAAGTAATTATGCTCCAAGCAGTCTGTGACGAATCACTTGCTTTTATTGATGTTCATGTCAGTGATATTGGTGTCACAAAAAAAAGCAAAGTGTTTAGAGAAAGTTGGCTTTGTCAAGAGCTAAAGAATCTCATTGACTTCGACAACCACTTACTTGGTGATTCTGAATATAAACTTAAGAAAAATTTAATTACTCCATTCAATAGTGAAGAAGTCTTAACTCCTGAAGAAATGAAGTTTAATGATAGGCATTGGAAAGCACGCAGTTATATTGGTCTTGCATTTGAATTATTAAAGGATAAGTTTAGAAAACTCAGTCATATAGATATTAATAAGCCTGATGCTGTTCAGACTTTGTTATATGCAGCTTGCGTTCTTCACAACTTTATAATTCTGCAGGAAGGATGTCCAAATCTCAAGGAAGAGCCCATAACTTGTGACGATGGAGTTACAATAGATTCGGACATTGTGAAAACTGCTGATGAAAAGAGGCAGTTCTTGTGCAATTATGTGAACTACATTGATAGCGCTTGACATGATTATTTTTGTGTGCTTGTGCACAGCTGTGCTTTAGAGAAGTTGCTTGTTTTGATTGTATCCTTTTTTCGTATTCATGTTTCAGATTAGGGCTTATCTTCGTTACAAACCTCTCAGCCTCAGTTTTTATAAGTTATTTTGTAAATAATGTGATCTATTTAATAGGGTAATAAAAAACATCATGTTCATGTAATAATACTTCTATTTTTTCCACTATTATGGGAAATTAATAAATTGCTAAGTATTAAATTGATTTATCATTATATAAAAAATATAAATAAAGTATTTTTGAATTGTATATAGTGAGTAGTAGCTGAATTTACAAAATGAATGGTATTTGAGTAATGGCTTCTAAATACATAATCTAAAATCTTTGTTCTAATTTTGTCTACAAATAGGTTGAAATTAAAAAATAAGAGTTGATTTTCATAGTACATGTTTAGGTATCCCTACATTTTAATTGAGTTGTAATTTATATGTACAGAAATGGATACCTGCCTTAACTAAATAGACTTTATATATTTCACGGTGGGAACACTTCCTAAATTTAGTTCTCTGGTGGATAAATTTAGCCATTGGAGGATCAGGTATACACAATATAGGACACAATATTTAGAAAATAATTCATAAAAATTTTATAATACAATAATAATTACAAGATTTCTCTTGTGAATTTTACGTTATATTATATGTACAAAGCTTGTTAAGCTTGCGTCAGTTCATTTCAATTCAACTAAAATTGTGAATTAAAAAAATTCTAACTTGAGACTATACTCTTCCTGATGTATCCTAAATTACATTAGGCACTAAATTGGCAACCTACAAGGCACTATGCACTTAGCACAGCAATCAAATGCTATAATAATATCATAAACTTCATATTAAACAAAATTTATAACATCACCTTTATAAATTGATATCTCTGTATGTTTATACACTAACATACTTTATTTAATTTAGACATTCTAAAGTACACATTGTGTAGAGACTTTAAACATCGAAGTGTAATGTTCTGGTCTGTTTAAATCTCACTATATTAAACATTATCAGTATATACACATTTACTCATATTTACAAAACTAATAATAGCTGCACTGCGCTCTAGTTCTACATTGATTATGGAATGTTGAAAATGGAATTATAATACTCAACCAAAACGTTTCAGAGTAACTTTGTTACAGAAATCACAAACAAACACATGATTAATGTAGTGTTGGTTCAGTATTAAACATCCGAATAAGTTACCAGCCCTAGATTGCTGGTCATTTATACATAGAATCGATCTAATGTTTAAATGCAATTTTCACTTGTCAAAAGTTTAATAAACTGTACACTGAAATAATCCACAATATTTACAGGACCGTCAAGTCAACCAATCAATTCACATTGTTTCATCCAAATTATCCCGAAGACTTGGCACATGTGACGCACACATTGTCTCTATCACTTAGTAATGGAACCGTACATTGTCTGTTGGGGTAGTTTTCAAATATAAGTTTTTTTCACTTTCTGCAGAGTCCCACATTTGAGATCTTTGTCGAGTGATTCTGTTGAATTGCGTAGATCGAGTGATCGTTCTTTTCCAAGCTCCAGGTGCAAATTGTCTTGTTTAGCTAGGGGGCATACATTCGCCACCATATTCACGTTCTTAGACCGTGGGGGCATGTATGCGGGATTTGCATTCAGCGGCGTCTCTAATGCGCTCAGTCTGAAACATAATAATGTTGTTAGAGCTACGGAAGCGTAACGAAGAGTTTCTTTAAAACGAATCGCAATATCAGATACGCTCGCGATGGGAGTTTAGTGCAACGTTAATGTGATGTGTTACTAACAATACAGTGAATTATGATGTTTTCAAAGTTTTGAAATGTTTAAAAGTGAGCTTATAATATTGGCAAGGTCTGTATTGACCCACTTCTGGAAATCGTAAATATACGTCTGCAAAAGAAAACTACTGGGTGAGTTTTATTTCATAGATTATTTATCATTATCCTGGTATGATAAATTTCGCGTACGCACCTATTTAAATGATTGTGTTGTTCATTGTAGGATGAGGTATCGGGAAAAAATGGGTGACGAAATCGCCGTGAGAAGAGGTACCCAATGACGAATCCCACCATGAGTGTCACAAGGCATGAGGCCACTACAGCTGTGAGTAGGGCTTGAGCACTGTAGATATTTCCGTCAGCAGCCTCGACTGTTAGTAAATCTAGAAAAATAAAAACTTTTAGTTTTGACGTTTGTGATCCAATGGTTTGTACTGTGGCGCTAGATGAGAACTCCCAGATTCGATTTTAAATTGGTCCGGTCTAGGTGTTCTAGGTCGTGCCCCGGAGTGAATTTCGTTGCTCTGGTATGAGTACCAGAGCAACGGGATGAGTCCCTAGTTTGAAACCAAGCTACTGGTGTGGTTGTCTGGCACATTATTTTCTATTGGACTTGTATTAATTTTTATGATTATAAAACTTACCAGTATTATGTTTAGAGTTTTCGTCTGACTTTGGTTCTTGTAACACATTGGTTTCGACAACTTCTATTAATATTTCGTTTTGAATATCGCCCGGTTTCTGACGAATATCGGGTTCCGATATCACAGGCTTCTTTGTTCCTGGGCTTCTATTAGTGTGCCGTTCGTTCGGTAGAAGGGCTGGCAACTTATTACATATTTCAGTCTTTCCATACTCTACATTTTGTAGAAACCTCTCGGGATTCGGAAATTGCCTGTTTCCGACCCAAGAACATTGTTGTTCCTTGGAATCCCAAGCGCAATGGGGATCTTGAAGAGCAACACACTCTCTGTAAATAAATGAGTACATCTTTCGTCAGTTTATTTATTTAATATTAAGTATTATACATACTAATTTTACTAGTAAAGGGGAAACACAGTTGTATTTTCATAAACCAGTTTTATTTAAACTTTGTTTTTAACGTTAGCAGTATGCGTAAAACAATAACAATTGAAATGAAATAATGAATTTGAGTACAGTAATTTGATTACATGAATCAACAATTAATATTACTTTAATAATATAAATATTTATAATAAATTACGTTGGTTATTTATTTAAGTTGGATGTGACTTGGATTTGGGAAGAATTTGTCACAGCAATTTTTATATCGACAAAATATTGATATAGGAATTTATATACCTGCACGATTTTACGTTGCCGCAGTGTGACAATGTTACCGCTTTTATGAGGTTGTCAGACGCAACAATGAGTTTTTCTGTCGTCAGAGCCACGTGCATTTGTTTGACGGGTACGCCTAAAGGCAACACTTGTTCTTCTGATATCACAGCCGTTCTCACAGGGTTCTTATAGTGCTCTTCTGCAGTTTCATCAAATGCACCTTCGTTCGCAGCAACATTCACGGCTTTAATTACTCTGCCGTCATCGGTACCAACGTACATAACATCATATTTATTGCCATTCATTGCTTGCACTTGAGGATGGACAGCTATCGAAGAAAATCTATATTGAAGGCTAACTCTAACTAGGATTGGTCGGGCTAGAAAAGATGAGACTGCTTTGTCCATGAGGGGATGTGTTTTTATGAAGTTAACCGCAGAGTCTGAAAGCGTTCGGCTGTCCTCGGCGCATGACCCTGGCCTCGGTTCTGGTACTTTCTCTTTTTCTAGTGGAAGCCAATTAGAATTCATGCTTTCCTGGCCTTTGAATTGGCCCTCGAAAGCGTCTAAAATATCTCTCATTGCAAATGCGCATACTGCTGATCCGCCAATTGCATTGCGAGGTGTCGTAAATACTGCGTATATGACATCATTCCTACTCCCTCCACTGCCATAAATGCCATTTATAAGTTCAGTGGTAGCCTCTGTAATAAATAATTTTATTAGGTACATTAGGTATAAATCAGACGGTAAAGGTCTCTATTTGGTGAATGTAAAGTAAAATGACTTACGGATTTCATCGAAATAAAATGGGTAGTCGCCAGGCATAGAACAGTTAAGTCGAGTTTTCATAAATGATGTCCATCGGTCGCTAAATGTGTGTGGTCCACCTTTGTCGTTTAAACATACTCTCGCCACTCTCGAATACACAGCCTGTAAAGACAACAGATGTAAAACGAATCGAATAAGTGAAGCGGATTGAAAAATGTTAAGCTTTTACGATTGTTATATAGGTACTAACCTTGCCACAGTTCATGTACTCCACAGCAGTTTCACGATAAAAGAAGTAAACGTGACTCGTAGAAGCAACTGCTCCGACAAAGGATGGATCGTTTAACAGCCGGAGGTCAGAGCGTTCAGTCCTTACCGGTTCACGGTATATTAACGGATCAGTACCGGAGAAATCGGCTGCGGTTGCCGTGTATAATTCACCACCTAGAAAATTAGAGGCAATAAATTAGTAATATGTTAATACGAGCCCTATACCCCACCGGTCGAGCTCGGCCTGCTGCGCGTGGTGGGTTCAGATTATGGGGTGTGCTTATGCTCTTCGTTGGCGCAGTGATTAAGTACTATGGGCGCTTGATGAGGAGGTTCCAGATTCGATCCCTGATTTGAACCAAAAAAATATTTTTAAATTGGTTCTGGTCAGGGTATTCTGGGTATTGCCCTCAGAATTATCGTTACTCTGGTACTCATAGTACAGGAAATTCCCTACTTTGAAATCAGAAATTTGGAGTGATTATCTGGCATTTTTTCCTTAAACTTCTCTCTTTGGCATAGCTTCCAAGAAAAAAGTATCAAACAGAGAGACGGTCGAGATACAACAACGCCATAAGCATTTTATTTCCACTACATCGGGAAATATGCCTTACATTTTGAACAATTGTGAAATCTTGTACCGTAATAGAGTCTCCGTATACTACCTACGTAAGGTGGCGTGCGGATGCTTCGGGCTTCGGCTACACCTCGGCCTACGGCCGTAAAAAGTAAGTGTTGACTGCACATTATTATTAAACATCCATAGAGATCCCCACATGCCTATTTCCATCTGCCGCTAAAAAGTTTGTATGGCAGCCATTTTAAAAAATGGCGAAAAATAAATGTTGACCGTAAATTATATTAAACACCCATAGATTCCCCCACATGCCGTTATTCAATCGAATTAAAGCAAATATTCATCTGCCGCCTAAAAACACTTCTATGGCAGCCATATTGATAATTGGCGAAAAATCAATTTTGATCACAAATTATTATCAAGCGCTCCTAATCAAGATCCCCATATGCCAATTTTCAAAG